TTTTTAAAATCCAATGTGTGGATCACATAATATTTCAAAAATTTTAACTTTTGAGTATAGATGATCCGCACTGTAGTGATCTGCAGCGATAAGTTAATTATAAAAATTTTACCTCAAAATGGAATCTCACAATTAAAACCACCAACGCATATTAACACATATAAAAAAACATAGTAATTTTTATTTCCAAAAGGTTATATTTATTCTAGCATATATTATGGATATTATTTATAACAAATAATAAGAGCTTTAATAAAAAAATGAATTTTGATAATAATAAAAAGAATAAAAAGACAATGGTTGACATATTTATATTAAATATAAAAAAAACTAAGCTTTAGGCAGAAGATTTATTGTTTAAAAGGGTTTTTCGTAATAAAACCCATATTCTATATGTTTAGTACAAATAAAAACAAAAAAATTAAATTTCTCTATGTTTTTTAGCATTTCAATTTTATATGCAAAGCCCTTGGAATCTTGCGATACTCAATATAAAAGTTAGGAAAAACAAAAAGTTATACATATGTAAACTTGATAAGTCGGTTTTGGCCTAACTCGGCTAAAAATTTTTCACCACTTTTTTTTACCATTTAAAAAAAATCGATAAGTCGCGATAAGCGCCAAGAAAGCTAACGTGTGAATTAAACCAATTACTTTTTGAATTTCTTCAAAAATGCGCTGTTTTACTTCGAGATTGTGGCAGACATAATAATAATAATAATAATAATAATAATAATAATAACAAGTAATCACATTGCCGAAAGATTTTTTTTAGAATTAGAATTTAACCAATCAAAATAATTAAATCACCATCTCGATCTTTATTTTTTCATTCATTAGAATCAGCATTATTGCTTTGATCCTTCCCCTTCCTGGTACGGAAATTCTCTTGAAAGGTTAAGTTCGATCTGGAAAGAAGCAAGGATATTCAATCAATAAAGATTTAAATAAATTCTTTATATATAAACTTTAACCTAGTATCCGAGAAGTTCTCTTGCACATTCATTTTGGTTATGTTACTTGAACCGCACACCTGTTACCATTTTGCTTGACCCGGACCGTTTCTTTCCACAAACTCTTTACCAGTGATTCCGACCTCAGCTATTTTATTAACCGGACTGCTGATAATGGTCACAAATCATAACACTATAACATATTGATTTATTTATCTGATGACTATTTGAGCGTTTTTTTCTAGATATTCACAATCGATCGTTTATTTTTTATGCCTTCAAAAAAGTCTATTGAAAAAACTATTTATAAAAATAAACTTTATTTAGATTTGTCATTACTGTTATTAGATTAAATTAAATCAAATCACACTATACAACTCTTTCTAACTCGTTAATAAACATATATCTTGAAAATCTTAAATATAAATATCTAAACCAAATTAATTGACTTTTGTGACATTCATTTTTTTTTGTTGTTTGATAAAGTTTTTTTTTTTATTGTTGTTATCGTTGTTGTTGTTGTTATTATTATTATTATTCACGTATTAATAAGTATAATGTTATATAAAATTGCTTACTATAATTTCCATTAATTCCTCCAGCACTGCTAAAACCAATGCCATTACTTGTACCACCCCCGCCGTAATAACCATTAGTACCAAATCCTCCACCTCTGCTGAAAGAATCACCATAACTAACAGATCCTGAGCTAACACCTGTATATTTTGCTCTATTAGCCCTAGCCTTTTTACGTTCTGCTCTAATTTTTTCTACATCATTCAACAATTCTGAAAGTTCTTTTGCTCTATTTCGTACTATACATTATAAACATTTTATTGATAAGCTTTTTATTATAAATAATTGATTGATTTTCACTCCTCCACCCCTTCACCCTCCGTCATCCATTTCAACTGGCACCCCTCCCCATCTTTATAATTACCACTTAAGCCTTGATCTTTTCCTTTTTCATCAAAATAAGAAAAACTTTTCATTACTTTTATAGAAGCTATATGTGCACGTGCATCATCCACAACTCTTTCAGAACCGTGCTTCACCAAATATTCCAACAATTGAAGTGCCTGTAACAACAATAATAATCAATGATGATGCTATTTTTAAATTTTAAATTTTTAGAAACAATGAACATAAAAATCTAACTTTATAAATTTGTCTCCAATATCTTGCTTCTTTTTCTATAAATCTTTTGTAAATTGTTGTCATTATTTCGTTGAAGCATTGACTTGAGGAAAAAAATGAAAAAATAAGTAATTATTTTTGAATAATTGCGATATGAAGATGATAATTATAAAATCGTTCGATCGATAGATCGGTCAATCAATAATCGTTTATCAAATTATTCTTTGTTGTCATTT